ACATGACCCTCTATGAACAACAGAGCTAATCAAGCCTATTGTTAGTCGATGGCACTCTTTTTGCATGTGACTAACCTGTTTGTCCACCATGTGGAGGCGGAGCTTATAAGGCTGAGTTCACCTGAAACTCATCAGACTGAAGAAGTGTCTTGGAGGAGAGAAGAAACATTTCACTAAAGAAGAAGAGGATCTACTGATGTTTTCTTTTTGATTTAGTTAGTTTAGCTGTTGGAGGTGTTGAGCAGACGGAGCACTGGGACATTTTCTGGTGACCTGCCTACTCTGCTCAGTTGAAGTTACACTGTTTTGTTTTTTTGTTTTGAGATAAACTGTTGATCTTTCGTATGGCTTACTTGTGTATGTGCTCTCAACTTCCCAAAGACAGAAGCCTGGAAAACACACCCTGCGCGTGCCCCACTGCACGCACACAGACGGGCCAGCTATGTGCACAATATGGGTTCTGCTAACTTCTGGTCAAAAGTTGTGAACTTCCACATCTCTGTCATTCAGGTTGGATTGTTTTGATAGGAAACAGTGAAAACAATGAGCACGTCAGGTGTCCAGAGGAAGAGACTGCGCTCTCAGTGAGTGAGCAGATCATCACTACACTGTTGTGTACCCCGATGTTTGTGTTCTTCACACTAACATTTAAAAGTTAGCTTTCATAGCTTCCCTGCTGATAATGTAGTGCGTCAGCAGTGGTTAGCTAAAAACCAGACAGAAAACTTCAGTCCCAGAAGAGTCACACAGGTATGTAGCTGACATTTTTTGCCTGAAGATCTGGCAGATACACTGGGGAAAGTGGTTTAAAAAAGGTGCTACTCCTGCTTTCCGCCTACCAAACACTGTAGAAAACAACAGCAATCACTCTTACAAAAACCTGTTTAAAGACTGAACTGTGATCAATTTTTAAACGAAACAAAGAAAAAAAGAGAAGAAGAAATGTGGTCTTTGAACTGACCTTAGCACTAACAATGTAAGATAGGACTGAAAAATACACTCACAAACAACAGAAGCAATCAGAGACTAACATGTGCAGTTTGCTTGCTAGCTAATGCTAAAGCTAGATATATGCTCCAACTCCATCACTTGTGTCAACAGCTGCTTTCTACTTAACTTAAACATCAGTGACATGAGACAACAAGATATAGTCATGTCTTTGTAGAGCCGATCAACATTCTTGTTGTTTAACCCTACTCTGAGTTCATGAGGATTAGCAGGCTTTCACATGGATCTGAAACATGGCAGCCTACACCCCCCCCC